TGCAGTTAGGCAAACATATGGAAACTGGGCACAGGAGGACAGAGCGTGGGGTAAATAGATGCTGTGAGCTTACCACATAAGGAGCCACTGAGGAGATGGTTGTGTGACCAGCCAGTAGTGATGCAGCAGGACAGTGGGTTCAGTTTTCAAGAGGTAGTGAGTGAACATCCCTGAGGCTGAGTCCCAGGCCTGTTAAAAAGCTTCCTGAAGGATTCTGTCACCATCAGTCCAGCAGTATGGAGTCACTTCTTGAATTTGAGTATGTATCAATTCCAAAGGACAGAAATTATTATTTTGGACCCCTTGTTGTGTGCCATGGAGTCAATTCTGATTCAGCGACCCTGTAGGATGGAGTAGAACTGTCCTATAGGGTTTCCAACGCTGTAATCTTTATAGAAGCAGACTGCCACATCTTTCTTCTATGGAGCTACTGGTTCAAATTACTTAAACACTGTACCACCAAGGCTCTTTTGTGGACCTGTTAGTATTGTTATTATAGTTAGTATTTTATTTCTTTTATTATTATGTTATATAAATGTCCAAGAAACCTAATGCTTACATATAAATAAATGCTTGCAGTCTTTACCGTCTCTAAAACTAAACAGAGTAATGGATTGAATGCTAACAGAATTCAATTTAACAACATTAATCCTAGGCATTAGTGAGCAGAAATGGACTCGTATTGGCCATTTTGAATTGGACAATCATGTGGTCTACTGGGCCAGGAGTGAAAATTAAGAGGAACAGCATCACATTCATGGTCAAAAAGAACATTTCAAGGTCTATAGTGAAGTACAGTGCTGTCAGTGATAACATCCATACATCTACAAAGAAGCCCAGTTAATACTATTAATATTCAAATTTATGTACCAACCACTAATGCCAAAGATGAAATTAAAGATTTTACCAACTTCTGCAGTCTGAAATTGACCAAATATGCAGTCAAGATGTATTGATAATTACTGGTGATTGGAATGCAAAAGTTAGAAACCATGAAGCGGTGGTAGTTGGGAAACATTGCCTTGGTGATAAAAATGATACCAGAGATTGTATGATAGAAATTTGCACGACCAACACCTTATTCGTTGCAAATACCTTTTTCAACAACATAAATATTGATTGTACATGTGGGCCTCACCAGATAGAATACACAGGAATCAGATCAACAACATCTATGGAAAGAGATGGTGGAGAAGCTCAGTATCATCAGTCTGGAAAAGGCCAGGGATCAACTGTGCAACAGAGCATCAGCTGCTCATGTGCAGATTTAAGTTGAAGCTGAAGAAAAGTAAAGCAGATCTGTTGTTGTTGATAGGTGCCATCAAGTCAGTTCCAACTCAGCAACCATATGTACAACAGAACAAACCACTGCCCGGCCCTACGCCAACCTCACAATCCTGTTATACCTGAGCCCATTGTCGCAGCCACTGTGTCAGTCCATCTCATTGAGGGCCTTCCACTTTTTTGCTGATCCTCCTCTTTACCAAGCATGATATCCTTCTCCAGGGAATGGTCCCCTCTGGCAACATGACCAAAGTAGATGAAAAAAGTTTGGCCATTCTTGCTTCCAAGGAGCATTCCAGCTGCTCTTCTTCCAGGACAGATTTGTTAGTTCTTCTGGCTCTCCATGGTATTTTCCATATTCTTTGCCAACACCACAGTTCAGAGCATCAGTCTTCCTTATTCGTTTTCCAGCTTGCATGCATAGTTCTACCCTGTCATCTGGTGAGCATCACAAAGACTATGGCTAAGGAGAGCCATACCAAGTAGTTCACTGCACCACACAAGATAAACTTGGGCTTACTTGTGCTTACTAACCTGAAGTGAACAATTTGACATTTTTTTCACCACGTCAAAGATTCTGTTCCTAAGTGTGGCTGGCGTCTTTCTCCCAACCCTATGGCACTGTCTTGCAGAATCAAAGCCTGATAATTTTTTTTCCCCCATATATGAACTTTTCCTTGACTTTTTATAGTAATAGACTACAGTATTTTCCTTCTGCAATTGACTTATTCCATTCAGCATAACATCTTCCAAGTTCATCTACGTTATGTTATGCAGTGTTTTTCAGATTCTACATTACTCTTTAGGGTTGCATAGTATTCCGTTGTGTGTATGTACTGTAGTTTGGTTCTTCTATTGATGGGGCACCTAGGTTGTTTCCATCTTTTGGCTATTGTAAATAGTGCTACAATGAACATGGGTGTGCATATGTCTGTTCTTGTCCTGGCTCTCACTTGTTTAGGATATATACCTAGCAATGGAATTTCTGGGTGAAATGCTATTTCTACTTCCAGCTTTTTAAGGAATCCCCATACTGCTTTCCACAGCAGTTGTATCATTGTACAGTTCCACCAGCAGTGTATGAGAGTCCCAGTCTCTTCGCATCCTCGCCGGCATTTGTTATTTTCTGTCTCGTTGAAGTTTGCTGCGAGTGCTGGGGCAAGATGGTATCTCATTGCCAAAGCGTGTTTTCTAATTTACAGTTCCTGACAGGGACAGAGTACCCAGTAAACAAGGTGACCACAGGCTTATTTGTATTTACCTTGTGAAACTATTTACTACAGATCTTTTAGATTACCTTGAAAAATGAAAGCGTAAGCATTTTTATTTCTTTAGAGAATTGCTAAGAAACTCTTGAGGATTCATGAGAAATATTAGTCTAGCTGGTTATTTATGGCCTTCTAGCCCCAATTGTCAGCCATTTTATGACAAGTTATTTCTTTCACAGTGAGAGATATGTAAGTATTGTGCTTGCATCAACATTGTCTCTAACCATTCCAGAGGCAAGGGCCTGGGGTACAGTCAGCTGGGCTAGGACGGCCCACAGTGGACAGCCTATCAGTGAGGATCCAGAGCACACTTGGGTCTTTTAGGCTAGGGCTGTGTTTCTGCTGGCCCATCACACATCTGTGTGCCTTTAGGCTAATTTCTTCCTTCTTTGAAGCCTCTGGTTCCTCTGTGTAAAAAGGAGGTAAAAATAATACCCATCAACCCTGTTGATGTGAAGATGAAGTGAGCTGACATTTGTAAAAGGCATCGGACAGGGTGTAAGTGTTTAAAAGATGTAGTTGTTACTGTTCTACTGGCTATTTGGTTTGAATTGTGCTCTCAGAGAAATGTTTAGATAGCCTGTCTGAGGAGTTTGCTGTGTGGGAGGGACTTGAAACATACAGGTAGGATAGTGCTAGGCTAGTGATTCCCAACCCTTGCTGTGAGCAACATGGGCTTCCCGGAGAGCTGGATTCAGCTTTTGTTGGGTTAGAGCAGGCCTGGTTACACCACAGGCCCTACAGCCTCTGATATCCAGCTAGTTTGCACCCCTGCCTTCTGGGCCTGTGACTGGGCCAAACAGATCTTTGTAAACAAATGTTAGAAATTGAGCTGAGAAATTTGTGTCGGCTTATTCTGCTTAGTGGTCAGCACTTTCGCAGATTGCTTTTGAATGTTTTGAATACTGGCCAGAATTACCAAGGTCATTAGGCACATTAACATGGCCCAACTGGGGACACAGTCCTTTTCCAGGGAAAGGAGTCTTCTTTGTGATAAGATGAGGTGTCTAGGCAGAGACCAGCCAAAACCTCGAGTGGGGGTGGGGTGGGGTTCGGTACCTGTGAGTGCCAAGGGCTAACTGTCATTACTTTGCTCCATGTGGGAGACACTGAGCAGGTGTGGAAAGGGTCTGATGCACCAAGGTGCTTCCCTCTGTCTCTGAACTGCCCTCACCCATGGTGTCACTCTGATTTTCATTGCCACCACCTCTCCCTCTCCCAGCCTCTTCCTCAAATAAAAACCAAAAACCAAACTCACTGCCACAGAATCAGATCCAACGCATTGCAACCCTGTATGGATCCAGTCCTTTTTCCCTTGGTTTCCCTTAGCATATTTATGACTGAACTATCCTAAATAAAAAGGAAAAACAAGAAAGGTTGGCATAATCAGAGAAAATGCCAGCACCTTTCAGAGTCCACTTTTCTGCAGGCTTGACCTCTGCCCCTGCAGTAGCTAACTTTCACTGACTGCAGCCCTGTCTCTAGTGCCCCTGTTCAAGGCTATTTTGGGCAGTGTCTGGAGAAGTCTTCCTAATTGCTTGTCATTCCCCAGCCACTTCCAAATGAGGTCCCATTGTGCCATATATCAAAATGAGTAGTTAGTAAAGCAAAAACCCACTGCCATTGAGTAGAACAGCCCCATAGGATTTCCAAGGCTTTAATCTTCACAGGAGTTGAGAGTCTCATCTTTGTCTCTCGGAGCAGCTGGTGGGTTCAAACTGCTAACCTTTTGGTTAGTAGCTCAATGTTTTATCCAGTGTGCCATCAGAACACCTTGGGTAGTCATTAGGGCTATGGAATTTCCTCACTCTTCACCAGGTAGGTTTATTCATTCAGCAAATACTCACATGATTCTAAGCTTAGGTGGGGATTGGGTCAGTATTTGTTCTGTGAAACATACATTCATACCTGAGGAACACAGAGTTCACAGGACAGTGGCAACCTTATGGTGGTATCAGTATCAGGTTTCATTATTATTGGGGGATGAGAGGGTACAGGAAAAGGACCATAAAATGTGGACTTTGGAGACACAAAGCTGGGTTCAAATTCTAGCTCTGAGCTTGGGCAGGTCACATTTTGGGGAAAACAGACAGGGGTAACCTTGCATGGTAGCAAGCTGGGAGGAGGGCTCAGTGCTTGACTTCACCCATGGAGAACTGAATCCCATTTAACACAGTCCTGATTTAGTGACTTAAATTGGCTGTCTTCCTTCTTGCCCAGCCCTCAATGGAGCTTTTGTTCCAGCAGGAGGCACTCAGCAGTAGTTAGTGCCTTATAAACCCTGCACCCATCAGTTACACAGCCCAGGGGAGAACCATTTGATGGGACCCTTTAATTTGAAGTTTCAGAGGGACGTTCTTCAAACTCGGTTTGTATGATTGCTGTGGGTTTAGGACTGTTACACTGTTCTTGAGTGAAACATTTCTTCCTCTGTCCTCCAAATGCTAGGGAAGGATCGAATCATATTTGTGACCAAAGAAGACCACGAAACTCCAAGCAGTGCAGAGCTGGTGGCTGATGACCCCAACGATCCATACGAGGAACATGGTGAGTGACGTGTAGCTCCCAGGGGCTCACAACCACAGACTAGGGAAAGCTTTTGAAATTCATGATTCCTTCCATATTTCACTAGTCAAGACTGGGCTTTGAGAGATTCTTCTCAGTCTTGGATAGTCTCCCAGGATAGGGTGACCATCTCCCTCAGAGGTGTGAGGGGTCTGAATGCTTTCCAGCCTCGGTCTGATTTGCTACCATGGTTGTTAGGCCAGAGCACCAGAGTTTCTCCTCACAGAAGTGCTTCTGCCCCTTTCTCTTGCAAGTTCTTGCACTGACAGGTCTGATGCTTTACAATGATTACATTGTGGGGGAGATGTCAGGGTGTCAGTGGATTCTCATAGTTACAGGTGGCAGGGCTCCTCCTGTTCCATAAGCTTCCAGACTATTCTGCCACATCTACATAGCAAGCCAGCCCATAAGCAAGCAGTCATTCACATGTTCTGTGAGGTTGGCAAAGTCTCTGCTCCTTGGAGAAGCCCCAGCCAGCACCTGGCATGAAAAGTTCACTCAAGGCTCATTACAGGCTGCTGGACAAATCAGGACTTTATTTTGTTTGTCTCACAGTGTTTTTAAAAATGTAATTGTGCCTGCCTTTAAACTGGGCATTCTCCAGTTCCCACTCTTCTTGTGTCTGTTACTGGTCTGTCTGCTTCTGTTAGATATCTCTGCTCATACCCTTTAGGTATTTATTTGCATTTACAATGCTTTGTAGTGAGTAATTTTACAAAGAACCATAGAAAACACATGGACTTCTGTTATCCAGAGACCTGTGGTACTCTGAGCTCTCCATTGCAAAATTACTAAGTGGACTGTTTGGGCCACCAGTTTATGCCAGCTGCCTGTGTCCCAGCTCCCGAGTGCTCTGGCAAAAACAGTGCTTCAAACAGCTAAGAGTGCCAAAAGAAAAAGGCAGAATTAATTCTCAAAGATTCAGAAAGCCAGGAGGGCCTTAAAGATCACTTGGTCCTAATGGGAAAACAGAGCCAAGAGTTAGGGACTGACTAATGAAGTTAGTGATAGGGACTAGACTGCAGGCCCTTGACTGTATATTTGAAAGCATACTACATCCCAGGGCAGGCTTGATTTAATATGCCAAAGCTACCATCTATGTCCCTAAAGTATAGATTGGCACTATAAAATGTTCTCGGTGAGGAGGAGCTATCTTATTCTATGGAGAAATAAAGAACCAAGTACTCTTGTAGAATGTCATCTATTACCTGTTTTGGAAGCTACTTGCACAGGTTTCATAGCAGATTTGAACCTCCAGGGGGCAGCATTTATGTGTGTTTTTCCAACACTGAGATTACCCTGAGAAAACTCTAGGGATCCTGCTGGCTCTAGGAATTCACTACTGACTTGGACCCCACTGAGCCATGGACACTTCACGTATAAACTGGGCTTAGTAGTACCTATGGCAGAAGATGTCAAAAGGTTGCACAATGTACTGAGTAAGGTAGTGGGGCTAATACAGGAGAACTTGCTTTCCAGCTGTCAGTGGGGCTAGTGTTGACTTGCCTGCTCAGGGGGCAGTGCCAGTGAACATCTCCGCTGTGAATCCCCGTTTTACAAACAAAGAGCAGGAGATTCCTTGATCATCTTCTGACATAGAATTAAGAGGTAGGGCTTATCCTAGGACCTAGGATATTAGACACTATTGGACACTAGTTCAGCGTGCCACACACCATGGTACTTCCCCTGGAGTGAAAAATCATATATTTCCACCAGGTATTTCATATCTGTAGAAGATTCATGTAAGAAACTTCTATCTGAATCTCATTTTCAGGTCTATGATGGTGACGCTGAAAATGAAACGATTGTCTTAAAAGCCTTTTGGAAAACCAGGAAATACTTTTAGATGTGAACAGGGTCAAAGATAAGAAAAGGTGGGAAGTTCAAAAGGAAGTGTATGTACCACTGAAAATACAAATCCATCTAGTCCTCCAAGTTTTTTATCTTTACATGAATGGAATCATACTGTCCTGGTCTGCCACTAGTCTTTTCATTGTACAACATGTCTTGGACATCTTTCCATATCAGCCCACAAGGATCTACCTCCTTTCTTTTACTAGTCCCAGACTGCTGAGTTTCTAAGAGTAGTCTCAGAGCAGGAGGGGCTTGAGGACTACACACACTGATGGATGATCTGGACCTGATCATTTGCATAGGAGTCGGGCCAGGGATTGGAAGTGTTAGGGCTTTCAAAAAGCTTCTCCCTAACCATTCAAATGATTGCTGCTCCTTTGGATTAAATGGTTTTCAGTATTTAGTTCTTGGAGCACAGCTCTGGAGATTGCTTAGACTATAGTTCTGTGTTGGCTATGAGGAAAGATGCTAAAGGTGGCTTCTCTTAGTGCACCATTGGAGTGCTGGGTTTGTGCCAGGCATTGGAACCTGATGGGCAACAAGAGGCAGGCTCACCAGTGAATGCCCTCAGGTGATGATTTATACTGCTCTGTACCTTCCAAGTGGTATGGACAAGACTTGTTTTTACTTTTTCTGTAACCTTAGAAAGTTTCTCTTACATGTCTTGCTCCATCTTTCTGTTCCAGGATTGATACTACCAAATGGTGACATTAACTGGAACTGCCCGTGCCTTGGAGGAATGGCCAGTGGCCCCTGTGGGGAGCAGTTCAAGTCAGCCTTTTCCTGCTTCCACTACAGCACAGAGGATGTCAAGGGATCAGACTGTGTAGACCAGTTCCGGGCCATGCAGGAATGCATGCAGAAATACCCAGACCTCTATCCCCAGGATGATGATGATGATGACGAGGAAGAGAAGAAGCCAGAAGGTTTAGAGGAAACAACTCCCACTAAGGCTACTGCATCCAAAAAAGATGAGGACTCAAGCTAATGAAGGCCACAAGACACTGGGCTCTAGTCCTTCCATTTCAGATTGATACGGACCTTTACAAAATGCCTTTCGGTTACTCAGAGAAAGTGTTTTTTCTTCTTTGTTCTGTGCACTGTAATGTACAAAATAACTTATTTTGAGGATCAGTGATCTTGGCCCCTTGACAGATACACTGAAAAAAACAGGGGTTGTATGTCTATGTGTTTAATGTAAACCTATGAGCGAATGTAGCTGCCACGTTGAATTCTCTCTTCTCAGAGTGCCCTGAATTTTACTACTTTAAAATAATGGGCTGAATATTCTCAGCAACCAAAAATCATTAGCCAGTAGTGTTTCTTGTGAGTGACTGATTTATTCTAATCTATTATGTCCCTTTTCATACATTTCATACCCCTTTGGGGAATTGAAATAGAAACAAAAACATCTTCCTTTAAAAATGCTGGCATGGGGCCATTCCTAATAGAAGAGGCCAGACTATCATTTACGTGTGTCTCAAAAATCATCTTGATATTCGGTAAATGAGAAAGTACTGTAAGATTGTCATATACTTCATTCCTGATGCATTTTGATTTTCATTTTTGCATTTGAGCTGCAGGTTTTCTGCTTTTGGAAAGTTTGGGCTCTCTGATTCACAATCCCTTTGTAAGTGAAGGGAAAGGCTGGTTATCACTGTTCTTTTTTTCCCCAAGAGCCCTGGTTAGGGGGCCTATAATAACACTGATTCTGCCTCAGCCACTGTAGATGCCATGTACTTGAGAGTGGGGACCTAACTGTTACCAGAGTAACAGCCAAAAGGGAGATGGTGTAAATTAAGGGAGGGGGGAACGGGGCAGGGAGAGATTTCTACCTAGTTTTGAATGTGTTCTTTGTTTTTACTAAAGATGTTTTTGATGTAAGGAAATATAAATTATAAAACTTTTAATTTCCTCTTTGAACATACTGGTAAACCAATTTGTTGAAACTTTCTATGTTGAATTCAAATCAAGCTTTTATTGTCTGAGTCAGATGCCTTCATGTAGACACTGTACTTAATACCTGAGGTGAGAAAGGCTCTTCGTATTTGAAGTTAGGTAACTGCAGCCATCAGATTAAATAACTTGAGCAAAGTGAGTGCTAGGCAGTTTTCAGGCTGTGGTGCAGTGCCTTATTTATACCAGGTAGTTATCTATTGGTATGTAACAAATTATCCCCAAAATGTAGTGGCGTAAAAACAAAAAACAATTATCTCACAATTTCTGGTCAGCGATCTGGGTGTGGCTTACTTGGGGTCCTCTGGCTGAGAGTCTCACAAGGTTGTGATCAAATGTCAAAGTTGTAGTCATCTCAAAGCTTGACAGATGAGAATCAGATTTCAAAATCACTCAAAGTTTTTGGCAGGATATGGTTCCTTGTGGCTTTGGACTGAAGCCTCAAGTGTCTGAATGGTTGTTGGCCCAAGGCATCCCTCAGTTCCTTGCCATGTGGCCTCTTAGGGCAGCTCACAGCATTATAAGTGGCTTCCATCGGAACAAGTGAAAGGGCAAGAAAGGATGAGTAAGGTGGAAGCCAGAGTCTTTGTAACCTAATCTTGAGGCTGGTGGTTCTAACCCACCAGCCACTCCTCAGAAGGAAGGTTGGGCAATCTACTTCCATAGTGATACTGCCTCGGAAACGCAAGGAGTGGTCACTATGAGTCGGGGCCGACTTGATGGCACATAACAGCAACAACAATCTTGAAAGATCCATCCTTTTATGTTTAACATATCTGTTAGAAGCAAGTCACTAGGTCTAGCCTACACTCAAGGGGAAGAACACAAGGGCATGAATACCAAGATGCTGCCTACCATACCAGATAAGGAGGTAACAGTACATTAAGGCTAAAACCACAGTTAAAATGTGAGTTGTGGTTGAGAGGTGTTAGTGATTATCTTAGGCCCAGTTCTCTAGAGAAGCAAAACTAATGAACATAGATACATAGAGAAATTTAGCGCAGGGAAATGGCTCATGTGGTTGTGGAGGTTGTCAAGTCCCAGATCCATGGGTCAGGCATGAGGCTGGAGGCTCCTAATTCACATCGTTACAGGGGCTGGTGAATCCATAATTGGCAAGTCAGATGGCAGGCTGTTGGCTCACAGGCCTGCAGAAACTTGCAAATCCCAGAATCAGCAGGTCAGACAACAGCCTGTTAGCACAAGTCCTTTGAACTGAAGGTCAGATGATGAGCTATATGCCAGATCCACAGCAATAGGGAGCTTTGCAAGAGCATCTAATATATGTTGTATGCAGGTGACACCACCAAAGAAACTCCCCTTACATCAGAGTAAGGGTGTATGTAACTCAAGATACACTCCTCACTAATCCTGCCTCATTAACATACAGGTTAGGGTTTGCAGCACATAAAATGGAAGATAATTACATCACAAAATGGACAACCACTCAATAAGAATCATGGCTTCACCCAGTTGATACAATATTAACCATCACAATCCACCCTTTCTGAGTTGGTGTAGTGCCTAAGGCACTTGACTGCTAACCAGAAGTTTGGCAGTTCAAATCCATCAGCCACTCCTCCGAAGGAAGATTGGGCAATTTACTTCCATAGAGATAGTGCCTCAGAAATCCAAGGAGGGGTTCCTATGAGTTAGATCCAACTTGATGGCAGTGAGTAAATACACTGTCAAGCATAACCCAAAATGCACAAACAGCAGCAGATAAAATAGATGAATGGGATCTCCTATATATTTTTATGTGCATCAAAAAGACTTCCCTAAAAGAGTAAAAAGAACGTACAGATTGGGGAAAAAAAAATACTCGGCAACAACATTTCTGGAAGGGAACTTCAAAATTTATAGAAAACTCCAACACCTCAACAACAAAAAGACAAACCAATTTAAAAATAGGCAGAAGACATGAATATACACTTCACCAAACAGAATATTCAGACAGTTAACACATGGAAAAAATGTTAAGGATCATTAGCCGTTGTTGTTGTGTGCCGTCGAGTCGCCCCAACTCATAGCGACCCCTCCTTGGGTTTCCGAGGCAGTATCACTACGGAAGTAGGATTGCCCAACCTTCCTTCCGAGGAGTGGCATTAGCCATTAGAGAAATGCAAGTCAAAACAACAATGAGATACCATCTCACCCTAGCAATAATAGCAAAGTTCAACAAGATAGAAAATAACAAATGCTTGTGAGGATGTAGAGAGATCGGGACTCTCCTACACTGCTGGTGAGACTGTAAAGTGATACAACTGTGGAAAGCAGTATGATGATTCCTTAAAAAGTTGCAATTGGAAATGCCACTTGACCCAGCAATCCCATTACTAAGTATATATCCTAAAGAAGTGAGAGCCAGGACAAGAACAGAAATGAACACCCATGTTCATTGCAGCACTATATACAATAGCAAAAAGATGGAAACCTCAGTGCCCATCAGCAGAAGAATGGATAAGGAGACTATGGTACATACACACAATGGAATACCATGCAACCCTAAAGAATAACAATCTGCAAAACACTGCATGATGTGGATGAACTTGGAGGACATTATGCTGAGTGAAATGAGTCATGACTATCACATAAGGAAAAATACTATATTAGTCTGTTATTGTGAAAAGTCAAGGAAAAGTTTATACATGGAAGGAAACATTGTTGGTTACCAGGGGTGGGAAGTGAAGGGAGGGAACACTGCTAGATAGGTAGAGACAAGTATTGATATGAGTGAATGGTAGGACAATGCACCACATGTGCGTAATCAATACAGTGGCATTGAGGAAGAAGAAGACATTGAGTGTACATGGTAAATACAGACAACAAACATGAACCCTTTTGCACATTACAGTACTGCATTGTCAGTGATGGCAAACATTGATCTATGAGTTTGTAGATGGGTAGACAGGCTGAATGATCAGGTATGTCTTGGCAGGGATGACTGTGCCCATGATGATGTATAAGGTTGGCAGATGGTGTTTCTACAAGTGTATTTGTATGTACTGTAAGAATGTCCAGGTATACAGTAGAGCTGACAGGGACAAGGTGTGCTGACTTACTAGCCACAGCCAGCTACCCTGAGAGAGCAAGTAGTTGGACCTGTGGGCTTGGGACCAAAGTCCCAGGGGACATCAAGCTCAATTGGCATAACATACTGCACAAAAACATTGTTCCACATCCTACTTTGGCAAGTAGCGACTGGGATCTTAAAAGCTTGCAAGCGGCCATCTAGATGCAATGATGGATCTCTCCTCATCCAGAGCAAAGAAGAATGAAGAAAACCAAAGATGCATGGAAACAATTAGTCCAAGCAACTGGAACACCATGCAATCCTCAGGCTATATGACCATGAGACCAGAAGAACTAGATGGTGTCCAGCTACCACTGTCAACTGCTCGGAGGGAGATCTATGTAGGAGATCCTAGATAGAGTGGGAGAACAATATGGAACAAAACTCAAAATCATTTAAAAAAAAAAAAAAAGACCAGGTTTGCTGGTCTGATAAAGCCTGGTGAAAACCCTGAGACTATGGCCCCTACCTGCCCTTCAGGTCCAGAACTCACCCCTGTGACTTCTACCCAAATAAAAGACCAGCATATGGGCTGAACATTTACATCAGGTAGATACATTCCTTGGAGAGATCAATCATGGGAGAACAAGACAGTGAATGCACAGGGAGACCGCTTGGGGGGCAGGAGTGCATGGGAGGGCAGGACCCAGGGAAGAGGTAACTATGGAGAGGAAGTGGGAAGAGAGTTGTTGCATTGTGGGAAATTGCAGTCAATGTCATGAGACAACGTGTATGAAATGCTGTATAGAAAATGAATTTGCTCTGTAAAGTTTCACCCAAATCACAATAACAATTTTTAAAATAAAAATTATGCCATAGGATTGGAAATTTGATAAACCTTTGAGGTAGGACAGAATAGGTGAATTCTGGCCTTGCCACCTGAATGTAAACTATTTCTGGTGTCTCCTTAACACCAGAATCTAGAAAGAGGCATTGGCCAGATCAATAGCTGTACCAGGAGATGTGTTAAGTTGCTCAAGCAATGAAACCA